TGGGTGTTTGTCTTCCATAGGAGACAGCTGAGCTTATTGAACTCCAAAAGCATTGCTAATGGCCATGCCATGCATAGTGTTAGGATTTGAAAGTGTGCCTCTGAAGTCAGATCCAGAGGACACTGCAGAGGTGTTTGAATCCTTTGTGTTTTTGAAATTATACCAAAAAGCAAAGGTGAATACTCTGTCCAAGGAAACAGATGTTCTTTCAGAAGCAGAAAACTCCTCAAAGGAAGGGGTATCATGGATTCAGAGCTTAAGATGGAATCCTGTCTCATTTTTCCCTTGTGAAGGAGTGAAAGGGTAACAAGAACTTAATCTTAGGTTGAATTAGCAGGGAATTCAACCATTACTGTCCGCACAACAGGCTTTGTCTGCCGTAAACGCACAACCCTCTGCTGAAAGGTTCTCATATACATGTCGTTTGTCTTGTGTGTCCACAGTTGTGGGAGGGAGTGTACTACCAAACTCACACCAGTAATTAGAGAACCAGACACAGAGTGTGCCAGAAAACCTGCATCCAGGTAGGATGTCACTTAAAGGAAGACGCGGGGACAGCTGAGAAAACCTAGCATCGCCCAAACGCTGCCATGTCTCTTCTGAGCCATCTCATTTTTATTACCCTCGGGAGGTGTGGGAACTTGGTGACAAGTTTATGAAGCAAAGGCGTTTGAAAATGTTGCGCTCCAATCAAATGCTGCTCTCTCGAAGTAGGTCTGCTTTCAAGACAAAATGTCATTCAACTCAGATCTAAATAAAATTAAGCTCTCTCTGCACTACACTGCAAGGGCTGCTGAGCAAGTCCTGGCAGCTACTCAAGAAGAAAAACCTTCAAAGATAAAGGCCCCGAACTGTCCGTGACCAGCCTAAATTTCCAGCATGCAAGAGACTTCTGTCAGTAGGCAATATCTTAGTGGGCTGTCCAATTAAAGCAGCAGGCCGTATTCCAATCCAACAGATAACCATCATCCAGATGACTTCCTGTGAGAAAGATCACCAGTGGTCTATGTGTTCCAAGCAGCATTGGCGATGACAATTTCAGCACAGCGCAAAAACTGACTGATACAAACAGGCTTTCGCTTCTTCTTTCTTTTTTTTAAAATAAGGCAGAGTAAACCTTGGTGTGGACTGCTGACCACGTTCAAACCCACCAACCCCTCCTTGGAAACCCTTTACAGGGTCACTATGAGCTGGAACCAATTTGACAACACTTAACAAACAGTGTAAGAACTTTGTGTATGTATGTTGGTTGGTTATGTGCCGTGGAGTCGGTTCCGACTCATAGTGACCCTGTGCAGGGTTTCTGAGGCTGTAAATCTTTGTTGTTGTTGTTGTTGTTATGTGCCGTGGAGTCAGTTCCGACTCATAGTGACCCTGTGCAGGGTTTCTGAGGCTGTAAATCTTTGTTGTTGTTGTTGTTATGTGCCGTGGAGTCAGTTCCGACTCACAGTGACCCTGTGCAAGGTTTCCGAGGCTGTAAATGTTTACCGGAGCAGAAAGCCTCATCTTCCTCCCACAGAACGGCTGGTAATTTTGAACTGCTGACCTTGAGGTTATCTCTCTTTCTCTCTCTCTCTCTCTATATATATATATATACACACACACATATATTAGCTATATATTTGTGTGTGTGTATACATATGTAAATATGTATATAAAATGAGTCAATTTCAGGAGATCTACTTTTTTGCTAATAATTTAACTACTCAGCATTTGTTGCAGGAGAATCTGAACTCTAGATCATTGTGGTTTGCTGTAGCTTTGAATACTACTTGCATTTCAAAGTCTAAGTAGAATGTCTATTTCTGCCTCCCTATGGGCTCCACTACCGCCTGAGACCAGCTCAGGGCTCTTGTTGGCAGAGGCCTGCTGAGTGGTTAACTCTCCAGTGCTCTGCTGCTCCCAGCAAGGGTGAGGCCCACAGGAGCCCAAGGCCACGATTCCACAGTTCTGCCGGTGGCAGTATTGGGCAGGCTGTAGACATGGTTGCTGTGACGCCATCCTGGTAGCTGTCCAGACCTCATGACCGCCTCCTTTTTCCTTGCCGCTCCACCATCCTCGGGACCATGCCTTCATCGGTGGTCCATCGTAGCTCACCACCACCATGTCTACACACCAGTCAATCAAAGGGAACGCAAGGAAGAGTGAAGAGGGTACACTCATTTCTTCAAGGTCTGACCCAGAATTGCCCACCATCGTATCCTTTTTGAAGAAAGGGGAGCGTGGTGGTTGAGGATCCCCATGTTCTAAGTTCATTCGAGTGGGCCCTCCTGCCTTATTTTTTAACAGCTCTTTTCCCCAATCTGAGACACTAATAGTCTTCAAGAACTAGATGTGACCAGAGATTAACTAGCATTGTACGAGGGGGGCGTCCGAAAGTTGGTGGAAACATGGAGTAAAGTATAAATGAGATTTTCCCACGAACTTTTTGAAGCCCCTCCGTCAGCTTCATCTTTAGAGTCATTGTGTAATGGATATAAGACTTAGAGTTTGTTCTCAAATGTGTCATACCATTGTGATGAAGGAACCATATTTTCTTAGATGTTTGTTTCTTGGTATATTAAGTAGAATTAACTTATGTAGTGCATAGATTTGTAGTGAGGATTATACTTTAGACTTGATTTTCCGGGAATTATGTTTCATGTCAGATAAAGCATACATTAGAAGAAAGTGAATCATTGCATGTCAGATTGGTTTACTTCAGAAACATAAAGACATTTAAGTCATACATATGTCTTTTGAGGCTAGTTTTTATAATCCTAGCTTGTGTCACAATGATGTCACAGTGGATAAGTGTATGCTTTTGTCTTGAGAAAACCCTCCTTTTATTCAACAATCAGAATGTAGATATTTCCAGCGCTCCAGTACAGAGAAAAAACATAGGGGAAGAATTTTCCAGTAGAATCATATTTTACATGGCAAACCCACATGGTCTTGCTTACAGTAACGAAATCATTGTCCTCACAAGGAAGGAATGTACTGTTGACCCTTGAACAGCAACAGGCTTGAACTGCGTGGGTCCAGTTAGATGCAGCTGATCGTCTCCTGATGAACCGTTTATCTCTCCAGTAAATTGCGTGTAGCAGTGAAAAGTAATCTTTTGTGACTCTGGCATACGCTTTCATCATGTGCAGTGCAGTACCGTGAACGTGAAAAGTACCAGGGGACCTATACAAAGTCCCGCTAGTGATGCCCGAAATGCTCCCAGGAAGCAGAGAAAAGTCCCAACGAGGAAAAGTTGAATTGTCTGCCGCGCGCTGTGAATGGAGGTCTGCAGCTGCGGTTCCCCTCCATTGCTAGATGGATGAACACAGCACAGGACTGCTGTAAAATCAGAAAAGGGAATTGGTGGCGCTGTCACTGTAGATACGTCCGCAAGCGCAGAGACCTTGTACTTTTTGCAAAATACCTTTTTATCTCCTGCTTTTATGTGGGTGAGCTGTATAATACGTGTAACTTACAAATGTAAACCCGCTGTCTGTGGGATCGGTAGCCCTTCTCGCCAGCAATAAGCTTTTAGTAGTGAAGTTTCAGGGAGTCTAAGGTCACACATGGATTTCCGACTGTTCGTTGGGGTGGCACCCGTAACCCTCCTGAATTGTTCATGAGCCAGCTGAACTCATCTACACTGCCGACTGCATCCCGAGCTGGCTGCCCACGACAGTAAAGCCCACTCTACTGCCGGCTCCACTGTTGACATCACCACCGTCATCTCAGCCTTGCATCCTGTCAAAAAATGAAACCCAGCATCCGGGAACCTGTGCAGACAGACGGTCAGATGTTGGCTTCTTCATAGACCCAGAGAAGGCAGGGAGCCCTCCCGGCATCTTCACCCACTGGCTCAGAGTCCGAAATTACTGGTAGCTGACTTTGTCTCTTGTAAAAAAGAAATGAATTCCCAGATCACCCATCTTTATAGAATTATGTCTTTTCACTCCATTCCCTTCCGTTTTTCTTCTCTTCTCTGTCATTTTACTTTATCATGACATGTGGTACTGGGATGTGCTGTGGAGTCGGTTCAGACTCAGAGCGACCCTGCATCGAGTATTGGAGGCTTTGCAGGAGCAGAAAGCCTCATCTTTCTCCTGCTGATCGGCTGGTGGCTTCGAATTACTGACCTTGTGGTTAGCAGTCCAATATGTGATGATGATAGAAACATAGAAATTATTCACAATCTTTAGGAAAATAGGCCCCTGTGAAAAGTGATTCAGATGACAAATATTCAGTTCAGAATAAACCTTTTGAAATAACCAAATTATTTAAAAATCCATAAACTTGTGAGTTGGTCTTTTTTCTTACACTGTTGTGTGAAATATAATGTAATCAGTGCGAGTCCCTGGGTGGTGTGAAGGGTTACCATACTCGACTGCTAACCAAAGGATTGGAGCTTCAGTCCACCCAGAGGCCTGCGGAAGAAAGGCCTGGTGATCCGAGTGTGAAAATCCTGCAGAGCATAATTGTACTCTGTCACATTGGTGTTGCCTATGAGTCAGAATTAACTAGATGGTAATGCTTCTTGGTTTTCAAAAGCAGCGTAAGAAATTAACCCATGTAATGAAATTCACGAGTCATATGTGAAGGGCTTTCAAGACGTTTGTGGAAACAGTGGAATGAAAAGTTAATGGCGTTTTCCCGTAAACTGCTTGGAACACCCTCATATATCTGAAGCAAAACATATTTATTAACAGTCTGAAAATTATCTTCATTATTGTTGTTAAGTGATGTCGAGTCAGTTCTGACTCACAGCAACCCCATATAGGATTTCCAGGGAGCGCTGGTCAACAATCCAGTGCTTACCTCCAGTGCCACGATGACACGAAACAAAATTTTCTCAGAGTGTCCAACTTGCAGCATACTGTGGTGACTGGCTGCGCCCCGGGTGCCGTGTTTCAATGGTGACGTTAGCAGATTCTACGTGTTTCGCTTGTGTTCTCTGACCTACTCTTCTCCAAATCCTGAGCCTCTCTGTTCCTCCTTGTGCCCTGTTTCTGTTTTGGCAGGCATGGCAGCTTCGGTTCAGCCACCTCGTGGGCTATGGTGCCAAATACTACTCCTACCTGATGTCCAGGGCTGTGGCGTCCATGGTTTGGAGAGAGTGTTTCCTACAGGATCCGTTCAGCAGGTAATAAGGTGGAAAAGGTTCATAGCATGGCCCACTTCTCACTAGAACACCCTCCCAGCTTGTGAACATATCCCCTACAAGCAGGGGAGAACCCCCCCACCAGAGGCAGGCCCTCCCCAGGGGAGCTTCTCTCCTGCTTCCTGGAGCAGCGGTAACACCAAACATCCGTCCTGTGTCCCGGGACCCTTAACAAATACCCCGACTTCTAGCGACCCCATATAGGGCTCCCGAGACTGTAAAGCTTTACAGGAGCAGACGGCTTCCTCTATCTCCCAAGGAACTGCTGGTGGGTTCCAACCACTGACAAGCAGCCCAACACTTAATCCACTGCACCACCAGGCAAAGTCCAGATTTTTCTGCCGATGGATGCTCTGCAGTGTCGTGTAAGTGTCGCTGGACCGGCCAGGGCACAGGGGTTTCACGAGGAGTCTTCAGTGGTCCCGTGGTGCAACCTGGGGAAGGCCCGTCTCAGATAGAGGACACGGATGCTCACTCCCCCCCATACACCCCCACGGAAGAGGAGGCAGAGAAGAGAGGCAGCCTGTCTTTCCAGTATCTCAGTCAAAGCAGCCAACCAAACAAACCAACTGCTCTAGAGCCAAATCCGACTCCTAGACACCAGAGGACAGAGCAGAGCTAAGGAGAACCTTAGGGTTTCTGAGACTGTAAAACTCTATTAGGAGTGGCTAGTGGTTTTGAACCCAAACCTTGTGGTTAACTGCTGAACAGTTAACCCCACTCTACCACCAGGAACTCCTTGTTGTTGTTGTTGTTACTAAGTGCCATCAAGTCGGTTCCAACTTACAGAGACTCTATAGGGTTTCCAAGGAGCAGCTGGTGAGCTTGAACTGCTGACCTTGTGGTTCAAACTGACCTTGCAGTCCAGAACATTAATCTACAGTGCCACATCAGGACCCCCACCAGGCCTCCTTGTTGTTACGTGCCGTCAAGTCGATTCTGACCATCGCGACCCTGTGTAGGGTTTCCAAGGAGCAGCTGGTGAGCTTGAACCACCGACCTTGCGGTTTAAACGACTTTGCAGTCTGACTCCCACCAGGGCTCCTTAGCACCTTCATAAAACCAGGTTAGATGAGGAGCCAGGTAGTAATCAGAGCTCTCTCCTTGGAGGCAGAGCTCCTAAAGATCTCCCTGTTGTTCCCTACTTGGCCGCTTTCGCTCCTTCTGACAAGGCTCTCTCTAAGAACAGGAACCAAAGGTTTGCTCTCAGAAATCCTCAGCAAGAATTTTCTTTGATGGCAAACCACTAATTGGGGTTTGGTCTGATAGTTGTTCAAAGTGCTTCTGCCTCCTTCACCACACAGATAAACGCATCTCCAAATCCCTGCCGTCCCATGGTTCCAAATCAGCATTCCCGTACATTCTAGAACACCCACGAGCCTCCATGTGCTGTGTTGTCTTCCGTTCATACAGCCTTAGCACGCGGGATGTTTGTATGAGCAGGAACTGGGGCTCATGTGCTCAACCAAAAACCAAAACCATGGCCATCAAGTCGGTTCTAACTCATAACAACCCGATGTACAGTTCCCAAGGCTTTAAATCTTTACAGAAGCAGACATCTTCTTCCCATGAAGCGGCTGGTGGGTTCCAGCTGCCGACCTTGAGGTTAGCAGTTCAGCACCCAGCCTAAGTTCAGCACTGTGTTCAAGGCTTCACAGCAAACCAGCCAGAGCAGGGCTATAGGTCAGCACGGACCCTTTCCTCCCACGCCTCTCCTGGACATCACCGCTCCCCCAACCCCCAACCTCCCACCTCCAGCACCATTCACAATTCCACAGTCTTGATGCATCTCAGAAGTCAATATCCACATTCAGTTCCAAAATCTTTTGAACTGAAAGCTGAGCTGATGTCATTTTTCAGAATAGTCTGTGGTTCGGTTGTTGTTGTCGTTAAGTGCCATTGAGTTGGTTCCGACCCATAGCTACCCTGCACAGGGTTTCTTTCCAAGGCTGTAAATATTTACGGGAACAGAAAGCCTTGTCTTTCTCCCGCAGAGCTGCTGATAGGTTTGAACCGCTGGCATTGAGATTAACAGCCCGATTTGTAACCACTATGCTACCAGAGCTCCTGTGGTTCGGTACCCACGTGTTATTTTATCTTCTGCACTTTCACAGACGGGGAGACAAGAAGTCTGCTTTCCCAACAAAAATGCTAAAGCCATATTTTGACTGCCATAAATTCATGTCAACTTTTTCCTGGAGCTTTCTACGAAGCAGGCAGAATAGTCTCCTGCTTGATGGGACCACACTTGACAAGAAAGCCACATACTGTTGCGTACATATCTTCTGAGACTTTTATGACTTGTTCAGCAGGGTGTTCCTGCCTCGACATGTAGCTGCCTGTCTTGTTTGTACATAACAGTGGAGTGAACTAGTACAAAACGCTGGCTGGACTAGAGAATGTCTGGGCTTGGTCACAGGAGCCATTTTGATCCCGTTTCTGAGAAATAGCCACACTAGTGGGCTGCACCTGCCATGCTGAGGCAGGCCAAGAACGGGGCCTAAAGAGGAGGTGTTCAAGTTGAAGGGAGCAGGCACTACATGTCCAGGCAGGCAGGGGGTCAGCCAGGACCTCTCAGCAGCGCTGTGACCCTTGAAGCCCAGCCTTGTCTCCTGCCCCCCAGCACGCTGGGCACTCACTCCTGGACATCATCACGGCTTCTCTGTCGTTCAGTATACCAGCTGTGCTGTGGTGCTGTCAGGACCTGACCACACACTTTGTTCCCCAAATGACCAGGGCGTAAAAATGCTCAAAAAGAGTAAAAACAACATCAACATTGACTTAGCTGTGGTGCAGTGCATAAGACACTGTGGACTACTGACCTCATGGTTGGCAGTTCAAACCCACCAGCCGCTCCTTGAGAAAAAGAGACTGTGTGCACCCTTGAAGATTGACAGCCTTGGAAATCCGACGTAGGTCACCATGAGTTGAAATTGACTCTCTGGCAGTGGGTCTGGTTTGGATCTACTAGTTAGGGAGCTCTAGTGGCACAGCGGGTTTAGTGCTGGGCTGCTAACTGCAAAGGCATGGTTTGATTCCACAGCTAATCCCTGGGAGAACGGTGAGGCTGTCTGGTCCTGGAAAGACTGAAAAATCTCAGAAAGCCCATACAAGGTGGCTGTGAATCCGCATTGACTCGTGACAGTAGGTCTGGTGTGGGTATACTAAAAGAGCTCTGGTAGCGTAGTGGTTACGAATCGGGCTGCGAACCTCAAGGTTCCGTGGGAGAAAGATGAGGCTTTCTGCTCCCGTAAGGATTTACAGCCTCAGAAACCCTGTACAGAGTCGCTAAGAATCGGAAACCAACTCCACAGCACATAACCACCACCAGGGAGCTCTAGTGGCACAGTGGGTTAAGTGTTGGAATGTTAAGCACAAAGTCTGCAGTTCAAACCCACCAACTAGCTATTCTGTAGGAGAAAGATGAGGCTGCTCCTTTAAAGATAAATAAAGGCGGAGCACTCAGCTTCTGTAAAGCTGACAGCTTTGGACACCCCATGGCACAGTCCTGCTTTGTCCTATAGGGTTTCTCTGAGTCAGAATCAACTTGATGGCCACAGATTTGGTTTTTGTTGTTGTTGTTTATCCCACACCTGGTTTTCCTTACTTTAGAATAACTTAAACATTGGAATCAGGTTTTTAGAAGCAAGAAAACAGTAAAGGGCCACACCGTCTCACGGCTGTCTCACTGAGATGCGTGCATCTCTCACTTTGTCTCTGTTCCTCCAGGGCCATGGGTGAGCGTTACCGCCGCGAGTTGCTGGCACACGGAGGCGGCAAGGAGCCCATGCTCATGGTGCAAGGTAAAGCTCTGCGACGGTGCTAACTTCTCTGTGGTTCACTGTCCATATTTTAGGGTTTGATGGGTCATGAGTTACGTCTTTGCAACATTTGTAATAAAAGATGTTCATATTATCCCATACATCTTTTTCATTTAGATAGATGATGCTTTAGCACTACATTTTTTCTCAGCTTCAGTATCATTTTGCCCCAAATCATGTTTAAAATTTCATGTATTTATGTGAAGTTTAAGAAGCAAATTCGTTTTTACTTCCTGTGATGTATTTCGATACCAGGAAGAATTTCTGTTTTAGCTTTCAAAATGTTACCAGTTCTCTGATGGGGAACTGGCAACATTTTTAAATTGTTAAAATTGTACCAGAATCATAAATTCGTAGAAAATTGGCTTTTAGATGCTATAGATCTCTGTAGATTATTTTTAACCTAAAGACCTCTTTTGTTTCTTTCTATTTTTCCTTTTTACATTCGTTTTTCCTCCATTCTTTCCCTCTTCCTTCCCTCAGCTGTACATTTACTGGAAATTCCAAAGCATCAGGCTGGATTTGTTCCATTAGAAAAATCAAAAACTAATGAAGTCTTTCTTCTCTTTGAAGCGACGCATTGCTTGCTTTTCTACATGAAGCTTTTAGATTTACATATTTTCACTGAGAATGTAATTGTAAGTGGGCGTGGCCATTAGTCTCTATTACAAAAACTTCCTCACAGATCATTCAAGGAAGGTCTATTATTTTCAGTAACTTCTCAGTGTTTTGATAGCTGAATTTGTAGGAAGTTGTGTCTCGGGGAGGCATTCTCAGTTAGGAGGTACACACTGCTTTCTGGCTGTAATCGAGCAGCTCCTGGCAGCACACAGTCTGACTTCAGCATCCCCTGCTGCCTGGGTCTGGTGATCTCCGTCCCTCCCTGTAGTTGGTCATATGCTTGGCACGTTTGCTAAGTGTGAAGCGTGGACCAGACTCTGACCCAAGTGCTGCAGGTGACGTAGTAAAACATGACAGGGCACCTCATAAAATCCCCAGCCAGTGCAGTGGTCCTACGGTGTCACCTGGCCCCGTCTAACTGTCTGTTGCCCACAAGCTTGGCCTTCCACTCCTGGGTGGTGAGTCCTGGGGCCGCCCTCCTTGAAGAAGGGGCCTCGCTTTTCGAGTCTCGAAGGGATGCCACCTGCAGGCTGTGTGTCCAATGACGCATCACTTCATCTTCTGAGTGATTCTGTGAGGACTGTGAACCATGTGGTCAGTAGTTCCAGACCCCCAGCCGCTCTATAGGAGGAAGATGAGGTCTTCTGTTCCCGCGAAGATGGACAGCCATGGACACAAAGCCACTGTACAGAGCAGCTATGACTCCATGATACCTGGCAGCAGCATGTAGCTCCACGAGGAAGGAATGAGGGTCACCTCCATCCTGTAGATGCAACTCACAACGAGGTCATGGGTGGAAGAGCCAGGGCTCGAACCTCATCGCCAACAGCAGGGACCAAGCTTCTCAGCAGTCAGCTGTCTGTGAAACTCCTAGAAAGCCCAGGAAACGTGAAATTCACGGACCAGTTGTAGTGAGCGGCCGGTCCTTTACATTGTGTGACCATTTGTGGTGGTGCAGGGATGAACCCGAGCCAGCTGAGAACAGAGCGAAGAGCCAGGATGACTGTTTATGTAGAATTTATATTGCGTGTATCCCCGGACACTCTCCCTGGAGTGGCATTTGGCTTTTCCTTAAAAAAAAAAAAGTTTCCCATTTTAAGCATACCATTCTTCAGTGACGTTAGCATCGTCACCATGTTGGGGAGCCGTCTCTGCTGTCAATTTCCAGAACACTTATCATCACCCACAAGAGAAGCTCAACGCCCTTCAGTGATAATTCACCCTCCCTCCTTCCCCTTCCACCCCAGTGACCACGGATGAGCTTTGGTCTTCGTATGTTCGTCTGTCCTGTGAGTGGAATCACCCATTGCTTGTCCCTTTGTGACTAACTTTACTTGGCATGTCTTCACACTTCATCCCCGCCATATGGTGGATCAGATGTCACGTCTCTTTGTGGCTGAGTCCTATTCTGTTGTATGGAATATTTCGTTAACCCACTAATCTGTTCACGGACACATCTGGTTGTTTCTACCTTTTGGCTATTGTGGATAATGCTGCAATGAACATGGGTGCACACATTTCTGTGTGACTCACTGTTTTCAGATCTTCTGGATCAGTTCTTTGGATCATCTTGGCAGAACCGTCTGACATCTCTGCCTCCCAGGTTTGCTAGTTCCTATCTTTCTGAGAACAGCCATGAGGTGGTATCTCACTGTGGTTTGGACGTGCATTTCTTCGATGTCATGTGACATTGCACATCCTCTCATGTGCTTGGTGTCTGTTTGTATAGCTCCTTTGGAGAATTGTCTATTCAGATCATTTGCCCCCTTTAAAACTGGGCTGTTGGCCTTTTGCTATTGAGCATAGTGGTTTAGTTCAATGTTTATCTGTAGAAACCCAATTGGTAGGATGTTGACTTTGCACCCTGCCACTTTGCTGACTGCATTGATTAGCTCCAGGATCTTTCTTATTCTTTGGGACCAGCTTATTCTTTTTGTGGCCTGGTGCCAAATCCTGCGTGCACATACTGGTTCATTGAAAGAAAGAAAAAAGTTGAAAACCTTTCTGTCGTTGGGTTTTGGCAGTTTTATTTTTCTACTCTGCTTCCAAGAATGTTGCAGCAACCTCTATAAAATGTGTCTTCTTTATGCATTACACATTTTTCTGTGTGCTAAGAAATTTAATATTTTTAGCATTGGAATTTACGCACTCGCAAGAGGTATACAAGTCCATGTTCACACTAGAGACGATGAAGTATTCAGATCCCAGTTAACACCAACAATGGGACCGCTCTTCTTTTAAACTTTGATATTTTTCTAAGAGGGCTTGTGTCAGGTCTCATTAATTCAGGTGACTGGTCACGTGTCAAGGAAGAATGGGGGACGTGCCAAGAGGGCATGTCTGTTGTCACTTTCTGGTGTTGGGTTTGTAAGACAAGGCCAGTAGTGGTGTCTCCCTTCCTGGTATGCAGTCAGCTTGTGCCCGCAAACAGGGATGTCTCAGCGAATGGCTCACAGCCTTAACACAAGGGGACTCCTGGGAGGCAGCAGTGAGATTGCTACGATTTGTAATATAAAAGTATATGCGCTCTGTTGAGGTTAAGTGCTGTCGAATTGGTTCCGACTCATAGCAACCCAGTATAGCATTTCCAAGGAGTGAATGGTGCGTTTGAACCTTACAGTCCAGTGCTTATCCTACAGCACCAGCATACCCTCTAGTTGGTATTATTTTTCAGTGGAAATGTAATTTTTATAGGGGGTTTAAATATATATAAGCTCTGGTAGTGTAGTGGTTATGAATCGGGCTGTGAACCTTAAGACCAGCAGTTCAAAACTACCAGCCACTTCATGGGAGAAAGAGGCTTTCTATTCCCGTCAATATTTACAGCCTTGGAAACCCTGTACAGGGTCGCTATGGGTCGGAATCGACTCTACGGCACTTCACAACAACAACATTTATATAATTTAAATGTAAAGAATGATAGTAAATAGCAAGAGGCAAATAAATAGAATTGTTGTTGTTGTTAAGTGCTGTTGAGTCAGTTCCAACTCTATAGGGGACTTCCAAGGAGCATCTGGTGGGTTTGAACCACCAACTTTGTAGTTAGCAGTCTGTTGTTTATCCAACAGCCCCACAGCAGGACTCCATGTTTTTGTTGTGAGGAGTCATCGTGTTGGTTCTAACTCATAACAACCCTGTGTACAGCACAACCAAACACTGCCTGGTCCTGTGTCATCTTCATGATTGTGGTTGTGTGTGAGCTCATTGCTGCAGCCATAGTGTCAGTCCATCTCCTTGGGGGTTTTCCTCATTTCACTGACCCTCCACTTTACCAAGCACGACATCCTTCTCCAGGGACGGGTCCCTCCTGATAATATGCCTCAAGTATGAGAGAGGAAGTTTGGCCCTGCTGGCTTCTAAGGAGCATTCTGGTTTCACTTCTTCCAACACAAATTAGTTTGTTCTTCTGACAGTCCATGATAATAGTTTAATATTCTTCTCCAGCACCATAATTCAAATGCATGAATTCTTCTATGGTCTTCCTTATTCGTTGTTCCAACTTTACACACGTAGGAGGCTATTGCAAATACTATGACTTGGCTCAGGCACATCTTAGTCCTCAAACTAACATCTTTACTCTTGAACACTTTATAGAGATCTTGTGAGCATATTTGCATAATGCAATACATTTTTTGATTTATTGGTTGCTGCTTCCATGAGTATTGATAGTGGATCCAAGTAAAATAAAGTCTTGGACAACTTCCATCTTTTTCTCCAATTATCATAGTGTTATTTACGAGTCCATTTGTGAGGATTTTTGTTTTCTTTACATTGGAACATAATCCATACTGAAGGCTGTAGTCTTTTATCTTCAACAGTAAGAAAGTCCTCTTCGCTTCCAGCAAGCGAGGTTGTATCATCTGCATATCACAGGTTGTAAATGAGTCTTCCTCCAATCCTGATGCCGCATTTTTCTTCATAGGTGAAGTTTTAAATGACTTATTTTTCTTTCAGAAGATGTTGTCCTTGCAGGGACTTGGACTCTGTCCATTAGCTGAGTCTCCTGGTGTCTAGAGAGAGACAAGCCTCACTGAGACCAAACCCTGTCCAGAGACCATCCCAGAGAATGCAGAATTCCTCTGCTGCCCTTCCTCCTTGTTGTTTGCTCCGTGTCCACCAGCTAACATCTCTTGTTAGATCAGTAATGGAAACATTACTGATAATATAAACAGTCGATTGACACATGTGCCCGTTGTGTGCATCATATATGTTAAGACCCACATAAAAGCTGCTGATAAAAATGCATTTCGCAAAAAGTGTAAAGTTTTCATACCTGAAGTGTAGCTGCAGCAAAGTCTTCGTGGGTGATTTTTCCCCTTTGCAATGTTTCTTGTTGCTGTTGTTGTGTGCCATGGAGTCGG